TGGCATTTACAACTTCAAATCCCACTTAAAATTTTAGTTATTGGATTCAGTCCTTACAGTCATTAATACTGAATACCCTTACGACTCTCTTGGGCAACAGACCAGATGTCAGGCCCCAACAGTAGGGCTCCTTGTGTGCACTCCAAGTTCTGGCAATGCCAGGTTTCTCAGAGTCCACAGAAGGACGCCCTCCATTTAATATGAACATTGATTCAGGAAGGTGAGGGTGAATGGCTTTGTGGTAGTTATACTGAGAGCTAATAAACAAATGTGTTACAGTCTTAGCTTCTCAGGCTTTCTAAAAGTCTTTTCAAATTGCCTCCTATATAAATTGGTGTTAACGATTGTGCAAGTCTCTCTTTAAAAGTCACTATGCTTAGACTAAAAGAGAATTTTCAATACTTTGGGGAAACATATTTTATCTATATTAAGAATAATTCTTTGCATACCTATGCTCTAGCTCTGCCTCTCAGCAAAGGAAAATGAGCTGTTCTGCATTTGTTTCTCAGTGTGAAGAGAGACATTTAATTTCTCACGTAATGCATGGTAACTTAGAGCAATGTGTAGAATGTGAGATGGAAAATGCATCCAACTACAAGATGAGTGGACTATCTCAGCCAAAGACAATAACCCATCCCTAATGACTCATTTTCCTCTATATAAATTGAGAAATGTGACAAGAATGGGGAATGTTTTTCCCTTACAAGGAAAAAAAAATTACCTGCAAAGATATGTTAATCATATTAGGCTGATGCATCCATTCACACTACATCATCCCCTGTTCTCTGTGTTGGGAAATGCTTTATTATAGCTATTGCACAATAAAGGGAAAGAAATAAAGAATGTTTAATAAACATGTTTTGACTTAACTTTCCTGAAATGGGGCTGGGTTATGAACTCTGTAACTGCAAATTTAAAATCAAATGATAAGAATGTAAATAAAATTAATAATTTTCTCTCTATAACTTTCTATTAATGCTTTTATTAGACTGTTAGATTACTGATAACTAGGAATTACATTAAAAATGAAAGAATTTTTTTTCCAGATCACAAATTTATGTAATTTTCTCATTATGTATGCACTTTAACCTTTTGTCTGTTTTCTTAAAACACCTGCCCTGATAACCAGGGATTAAATACAAGATATTCTGCTCTGCTTCTCTCTATTCGTCATCTGCTGCAAGAGTATTCTTTGATGTGTACTGTAATGCTGATTTGCTTGATTATTTTTTTAAATTCCTAGTCTATAATCAGGTTTTAAAACTGTACTTCTGCATTAACATTATGCATTTGTGCACCAGTGCTGAGCTAATAGGCTAGGATGAGTCAGATCCCCATATATTTTTATGCTTTTTTTTCCCTTAGATTGTCTTCATTTCAGATTGAACACTCCCTTTACTTAGCCAATTTTTTAAATGAACTTCATAAATCTCTTCACGTAAAGCACAAGCAGCAGAATTTATTTAAAGTGGAAAAGTTTTTCTCCCAATACTCTTTTGTAGATTTTGCTGTAAAGAGAAATCAGTCTTAAGCAGGCAGGGCTGCTTTGCACTGAAAGAAAATTAAATTCCTGCATCCCTGTGCATACTGCACGCATGGCATGCTTTCCATATGATTTCTACCTACATGATCATCACTCAGCACTGAAAAAGCTCAGGGGCAAACGAAGGTCGGGAAGGTATGAGGAGAGCAACAAAAATCAAGATGAACTGAAAATGACTTAATTTCCATACATATTTCATCCTAAGTGCAGGCTCAAAAGAAAAAAGTGCTCACTCATTTCCCTCTTCACCAAAGCCTTCCCTGCAGCCACATTTCAGTTAAGTGAGGGTAAAATAGGCTTTTGCATTAAGTTCAGTTAACTTTTTCAGATCAGTTATCATAAGGAATCCTATCTGCCTGTGGCTCACTTGTCAACTGAAGACACCAAACAATAACAGCAATGGATGAGTAAAATAACATTTTACAACTATCAGAGCACATTACCCGATTTGTGTCATTTAAACCTTGCAAAAGCCGTGACCACAGATAATTTTAAATAATTGATGAGTAAATGATGCTTCAGAGGTTAACTAATTTGAAAAAAGTTCAACTATCAATCAATAAGTAATAGATTGCATGTGTTATTTTCACTACACCAAACAGCTTTAAAAGATACCCTTGTATATTTTGGTATGAATAAATATTCATCTATGAACTGAAGTGTCTTTCATGAAGCTCTGCATTTTGTGGGAATTATTTGTTAATAAGCTAACTCCACTAGAAGTCTTGTATATTTATATATTTGTGGCATGAATGTTATGTTTTCCTGATTGAGCTAGGCTTCTTTTTTGGCCTTTTAAGCACTCATCTAAGTAAAAAGGAGTATATACATATTTAAGATAGAAAAATGCAGATAAAGAAAAATAAGAAAATGTAAATTGTCCATAACCCTACACAGTTTTTTATTGTAGTCATTCTTTCCCAAATAATTTTAGACAGGAAAGAATAGCAAAATTAGTACACAGAGAATTATCAGCTCACCTTTACCTATTTTCCTTACTCTTATAAAATCTTAAAAATGTTCAATTTTCAAAGCAAGAAAATTAATGTTGGCCCAATACTGTTAACCAAACAGCAGATCTTATTTCACCATTTTTTTTCACAAATGCTTTTTTATTGTTTCAGATTCTAATCAGGGATCCTACAATGTATTGTTTCATGCCTCACTAGTCTCTTCAAATCTGTGACAGATCCTTAGTCTTTCCTTATCTTTCATGGACTTGACACATTTGAAGAGTATTGAGCAGGTGCCTCAGTTTTGGTGTGTCTGATGTCTTCTGCTGATCAGGATGAGGTAATGCATTTTTTTCAGGAACGTGACAGAAATAATGTGCCCTTCTCAGTTCATCACATCATGGTGTTGTAGAAAAACTATCTTTTCTTATTGCCATAAATATAACCATGATTCATTGATTAAGGTGACGTTTACCAGGTTTCTTCACTATAAAGTTATCATTTTCTGTTTCCAATAAACACAGATGTTGGGAAAGATTATTTTTAAACTATTCAAATAATGTCATTTAATATCAAATAATATATTTTTCTTAAATTTTGGCTCTTAAATTTAGCATTCATTAGTGGATTTTGCTTGCAGTGATGACTACTATGGTATTTCTGTTTCCCTCATTACTTTCTTTTACTTTTCTTTTGAGACAGAATCTTATTCTGTCACCCAAGCTGAAATACAGTGGTGTGATCAACCCTGCTCACTGCCTCTGGTGCTCTGGTGATTCTCATGCCTCAGCCTGTCAAGTAGCTGGGGTTATAGCTGTGTGCAACCATACCTAGATAATTTTTGTATTTTTAGTAGAGACGGGGTTTCACCTGTGATCTATGAACAGGTTGTCTTACACGTATTTTTTTAAAGAGGTACTTTGCAAATGTAACTTAGGGAAGGACAGGCCTTGAAATAGGGAGATTGTTCTGGGTGATACAATAGATGCGATCTAATCACAGGAGTCTCTAAAAGTAGAAAATAAAAGAAGGATGGATCAGAGGAAAGTGACCTGAGGACTTGGCCTGTTTTTGCTGGTTTTGAAGACAAAAAAGGGAGCTGAAGCCAAGGAATGGCCTGGCCTGTAGAGGCTCAGATCAGCCCCTGATTCCCAGCCAGCAAGAAAACAGGTGGCCTTTCAATGGCAAAGAATTGAGTTCTTCCATCAACAACAACAAAAAAAGAGCAAAAAAAAAAAAAAAAATCACCTAGAGCCATTAGAAAGACATGTGTGATATAGATACCTTGATTTAGCTAACTAATACCTGTGTCAGAATTCTGACTTAAATTATCGTAAGATAAAAATTTTGCTTTAAGTCAGTAGGTTTACATTCTTCTGTTATGGCAGCAATAAAAATATAATAAAACAATATTTTCTTTTCTTCCCTTAAATTGTTCCAGATTTGGCCACTGGGAGCTCCTTCATTTGAGCTAGGTCTTTTGCTCATCTTGATGGCTGTTGGTAGCATTTTCTTCATTTGAATCAACTATGCGGTCAACCTTATCAGCAGAAGAATCAAATTAAAAGTCTGTTATTTCATACAAATAGAATTTATCTTAGATTTTCTCCCCACATTCAGAGTAAAACTATGAAGAGATACAATTTACCTAGCCACTATAATTTTAAAAAGTTAATTTGAAATATTGAAGTATGGAGCCATTGGGTGTCTGACTCTTTGCCCCAATTTGTAAGAAACTCCTGTGTGTGTGCGTGGGGGTGGGGGTGGGGGCAGGTGTGTGTGTATGTGTTGCTATCTTTTCTAAATCTGATACTAATTGGGAAACTGGAGGTAGGCCAGGACTCAGAATATAAAATGATTTAAAGAATGGGTAAAAGGCAGGAAATAAACACATGACCACTCCTACCTTGCTGTGTTTACAAAGGCTAGAGATGATGAAATTTTAGGCCAACCCTAAAGCTCACTACGTCATTAGAATGGCTATTTTTCTAATAGTGATTAATGCCTAGATTGACATCAGTGTATTACTTCTTCAGGACACTACTTTTCAAGTTAAAGTAGTAATATAATGGTATTAATCCATTCTAAGAAATTTATGATTAATATCTAGTCTTTCCTAAAAATTAGGCTTTGCATGAAACAAGGTGGTAAGAAGGGTGCAGTGGAGATTTAAATAGGAAGGGGTGCCTTGGAGTGGAAAAAATGGGACCTGGAAAATGATGTCAATTTATCTAGTGCTGGGCTGATCAGGATCTCATAGGCCTCCAAACTCTTGTCAAACTCCCCCTTGGTTATTTTGATAAAAACAAATTTCTTAAGTTTGTTAAGGACAGAAACAGCATCCTATTTCACTTTAGTTTCTTAGCTCAGTTCTAGCACATAATGTATTCTTTCTTGTATATTTTTGTGGAATTAAAAAATGGATTAAAATCAATAATAATTTTAATTAATCTGTAATGTATGTAACAATTCTTTCATGGGCAATATTCTTCACTGGAAAAGCTATGGCCTCAACCACGAGCACCAAGAAGATGATGGAGGAAGCCACCTGCTCCATCAGCCTGAGCCTGATGACGAACGCAGTAAGCATCAACTGTGGACACATGAAATGTCATGTGACGAACATGGAGAACAGCTCCACCTGCTCTACGAAGATGAAGGACAGCTCATCTGCTGGCGCCGTGAGCCAGCACTGCAACACAAAGGGCACACCACAGTGCTTGTTGAAGACATATGCCAGGGCTACAAGGAAAAGCTTCACAAAGCTGTGACAAATTTGAGGCAACTTGAAGACGAATGGAGCAGAAGCTGTTCACAGCAATACAAATAACTAAATGAAAGAAAAGATACAGATTCAGAAACAAAAAAATCCAGTCTGACTTTAAGGGTCTTCAGAGTTTCCTACATGAGGAAGAGAAGGGATATCTCTGGAGACTGGAGAAAGAATAACAACAGACTCTGAGTCAACTGAGGGACCATGAGGCCAGTCTGAGGCTGAAGAGTAATGAACTAAAGAGCCAGATCCTGGAACGGGAGGAAAAATGTCAGGGCTCAGCCCAGAAATTGCTACAGAACGTAAATGACACTTTGAGCAAGAGTTGGGCCACGAAGCTGGAAACATCAGAGGCCGTCTCCTTGGAGCTTCATACTATGTGCAATGTTTCTGAGCTTTACTTTGATGTGAAGAAAATGTTAAGGAATCATCAAGTCAGTGTGACTCTGGATCCAGACACAGCTCATCATGAACTAATTCTGTCTGAAGATGGGAGGCAAGTGACTCAAGGATACCCCCAGCAGAATCAGGACACTTCTTCCAGGAGATTTAGTGCCTTGCCTTGTGTCTTGGGTTGTGAAGGTTTCACCTCAGGAAGATGCTACTTTGAAGTGGATGTTGGAGAAGGAACCGGGTGGATTTAGGAGTTTGTATGGATAATGTGCAAAGAAGCACTGGCATGAAGCAAGAGCCTCAGTTTGGATTCTGGGCCCTCGATGTGTACAAAAAGAAAGGTTATGTAGCACTTACTTCTCTCCCAACTTCCCTTCATCTGCATGAGCAGCATCTGGCTGTGGGAGTTTTTCTGGACTATGAGGCCGGAGTTGTATCCTTTCACAATGGGACTACTGGCTGCCACATCTTCACTTTCCCAAAGGCTTCCTTCTCTGATACTCTCTGGCCCTATTTCCAGGTTTATCATTATTATCCTTTGTTTCTGCCTTCCCTAGATGATTAAGGAAAAAAGCAGAGGCCCCTTCATTTAACCAGCACAAAGAAAATAATGTAAATCCCATAAGAGGGGAAAAAAAAAAAGGTAAAGAATTCATGTTTGTTTTATAAAATGTCAGTATAGCACAAAGCCTCATACGCAAAACTTTTAGTTTTCTTTTTTATTTCTCCTCAAAATATGCTGGTAGGCTAATTTAAAGAAAATTGTATATAACTATATATACATGAGTACATTAGCTAGAGTATATATATATATATGGTAGGTGAATGTGTGTATATATAGTGTGTGAATATATATGTGTATATAGATGCTGGAGAATAAATAATCTTCAATGATATTAAGAAAAAAATAGGAAAATAAAAAGAGTCAGTATAAAATTCAACAGGGAAGACAGATATCTTTCTAAGACCTTTTATACTGAGAAAATAAAGTGTATGTGAGATGATGATTAATAAAAACTAATAGCATAAACACTACATTAAAACACTTTATGTCCATTTGATATTAAAGCAATATTCTACATATGATCATTTTTGTTTGGCAGTGGGTTAAAGGAAGTCTAATTTGAAAGCTTCAGTTAAATCTCTAGATCCAACCGTTGATTAATCTTTTAGGATTTCTTTTCACTTAATATCTTTCTCCCTCAATCTTTTTCTTTGTCCCTTTATTTTATTAAGCAATTTTTCTTGTCAACAGATTCCATGGAAGATATCTGAGTAAAATCATCCATAAGTATATTAGCTTTGTTCAGTCTCACACATTTTTAGGAATCTGAATGGAGAAAATTATCACCTTAAAGAAAACGTCAGTGCTGAATAATATTTTATCACTGTCAGAATTGTTTTTAGGTGATTATTGAGCCTATATTTTGCCTCTAAAACAATGTAACTATTATTTCTATAGCGTGGTCCCAAAGGAAAGCATCAATAATTAATGTTTCATCTGAAACTTTGAGTTTGCTTAGTCAATAAATACATACCTCTCAGCTTAGGATAGTGGAGTCATATGAGTTACTAATATCTATGACTAAAAATTGCTTTCCCTTCTTCAGTATTCATCTCCTTTTTTTTTTCTATTTTTCTTGCTTGTGAATCTTACTTTTTTATCCATAAGACAACTAATATATTAATACCAACTTATGTTTCTGTAAGCCATAACAAATTTGTATGGTGATTTACAAATCCCTCCCCACATGTTAATACTTTCTATTTGTAGCCTACACAACTGTTTAAGATTCCCACTTTAAGTTTCCCCCTTCCATTTTCTAAAACATAATAACTCACCAGTAAGTTGGCCTCTAAATTTCCAAAGACATGTATTTTCCTACAGCAACTACTTGATGCATTAAACAAAATACAGCTTTAAATAAGTATATAATAGATGCAGAATGCAGAAAAAGGGAAGATAATTTATTAGATATTAAAATAAAATATTTATACTCCACATTTCTTTTCCTGTTAATTACATACTTTGAGTCTAACTTCTATAAAAGTTCTAACAATTTGTGGTAGCCAATCTAAAGGACCTATAGTGTACTTCTCTGTTCCCCATTCCCAATTAAAAAGCGTTAAATGTATAACTTTAAAAATATTTCAAAATAGTAACATACACTACAGTTGTAAAACTATTATTAAAGATGTAACAACGCACATTGCTCAAAGAATTATAAGTTATATAATCTACTTGCAAAGCAATTTAGTGACATAAATCATGAACCTCTAAAGAAGTTGAACATTTCTCAAAATAAGTCTGAATCTGAATGTTTTTCCTAAAGGAATAATTTTCAATAGACAAAACCAGCATAGACCAAAATAAGTACTGAAAGTGCAATTACAGCCAAAATTGAAAGCCCATTAAATGTTTATTTTCAGGGAGTCTTCAAGAATGATTTATTCATTCAATTCAATATTATGCCACTATTATGTACGTATTTAGGAAATTTATTTGTTTACATAAACTACATATTATACCATATTTAGGGAAAATTAGAACACTAAAATTAGATATTAAATATAATTATAGTTACTTTTTGAAAAGTCATTCAGAGGAAAAATATGAAGAAAATCAACCTAAAAAGTCTTTAAGTGATAAGTAGTTTTGTTTTTCTCCCCCACCCCCACAACTAACTTTTAAATGGGTTATTATGATGTCTTTTTCTCAATCTCTCTTTCTTGACATTTCCATAGCATTACTCAATGTAATTTATCTCTTGGTTTCTGAGTAAATATCATTTTCATTTTCTCCTATTATTTTTCTGTTTTCCTATGCACTGCTTGCTAAGTGCAGATGTGTACCATGAAAATGGAGGTCCCAAATATGCTGTTTTCAATTCTATTTTAACCCCATTTGTGTACTTTTCAAAACTTGATGAATAATATTTTATCCAAATGTCCCACTCAACCCCACAAACTCAGCATATATAAAGGTAGTACAATTATTCTTCTGGCTCTCTAGACTCTGTATCACTCTTCCTCCTCTGCTCTTCTATTTTTGTCCCATCTAGCTGACTCTATAGTCCATTTACTAACTACACAGATAGCATTTATGTAAATTTAAAAAGTTGGATATATTTTGAATAGAAATATAAGCTAGTTCTAGAGCTTTGTTGTTTGTTTGCTTGGTTATTTGTTTCTCCATTTTTGTTTTATGTTTGTCTGTTTGTTTTAATCTCTATCAATCTGGGGAGGTGGGGAATTTGTTGTGAGGTAAGACAGTGGTGTTTAGTGGGAAAAGCATGGACTTGAAAGCCAGAAAACCTGCTCAAATCTTTTCTTTTTTATGTACTCACTGTGTGAATGTGGACTACACACTTAATTTTATCAGACTGAGTTTTGTAAAAGGATATAGTGAAATGTATCATATATACTTATTGAATATAGAAACTACTCAAATTTTTTTGTTGTTTTTTTGGACATAATGTTGAAACAGAGAAAAAAGGGTAACACCTGACTAAATTATAGTATCTCCATATTGAACATCTTTGGAAAGTTTATATTACAAGCAGCAACTAAACCTAGAATTAACTCAAAATTTATGACATCCTTGACTAGGAGTTCAACCTATATTTTAAAACAGTGATAAAAATAAAAACCCTCTATGTGCCAAAATCTGTTTATGTATTTAAAACAACTGACTGGGCCAGGCACAATGACTCATATCTGTAATCCCAGCACTTTGGGAAGAAAATAATTAAATGCCCAAGGCAGGTAGATCACAAGATCAGGAGTTCGAGACCAGCCTGGCAAACATGGTGAAACCCCGTCTCTACCAAAAAAAATACAAGAATTAGCCAGGCATGGCAGTGTGCACCTGTCATCTCAGCTACTCAGGAGGCTGAGGCAGGAGAATTGCTTGAACTCAGGAGGCTGAGGCAGGAGAATTGCTTGAACCCAGGAGGCAAAGGGTGCAGCAAGCTGAGATCACACCACTACACTTCAGCCTAGGAGACAAAGTAAGACTCTATCTCAAAATAATTAAATAAATAAAAGTAAAAATAAATAAGGTAATTGACTATTAGAAAAATTCTTCCTTGCATGGACCCAAATTATCTCTCCTGTTAAACAGCTCTTCCTTTAATTTAAAGTTATTGACTGCAGTGATACTGAAAGGAGTTATATATATAAAAATTATTCAAGAAAATGTTTTAGGCTTCTACCATGCTCTCTAGTAAACCAAATGCTGTTTACACTGAACAGTCCAGATTTCTTATAATTCCTGGAAATTATGCAAAGCAATTTAGTTATATAACTCATGAACCTCTAAGGAGTTAAACATTTCTCAAAATGATTCTGAATCTGAATTTTTCTACTTCTATCAACAACTTTACTCATTTCAGAAATAAATGTAAATATGAAGAGTTTCTCTTAATCTAGAAGAGAACACATTACATAAAGCCTGACATGGAATGGATACTTCAAGTTTGCCATCCACCTTTGTTCCATGTTCCGTATTCCTTTTCTTAATGGTAGAATCCCACATATAATTGTCATCTGTGCCCTACTACTGAGGCTCATAAACTAAAATGCTGAAATTGGGCATTTAATTATTTTCCCACATACACTTCCGTGAAACTTATTGTAATTCTTTATATCTATATTGCTTTTTAAAAAACTGTATTATTAGACCCAAGAGAAAAACCTATCATATTAAATTTGTGCTTTTAAGACTTAGTATAATGCTCATTTTTATCATTGTTCTGTAACTAAAGTAACTATTATCTTCATTGAGCTTTTAGAAATTTAGAAATATAAAAACCATGTATTTTATATATTTTCTAAGGTCACTGATAAAGATGTTGTTAAATAGAACTAAGCATCTTTATCTCTTTTGATATCATTTCATTAGTCAACAGTATTAAAGTATGAATTAACTGGTTATAAATCTACAAAAGTGCTCAAATACGTCAACTGACTTGATGAAATCAGGAAACGTAATTTTTGTATATACATAGGCACACAATCAAACAGAATAAATCTAAGTTTTAGTGAAACTTTTTGGTTCTTACTACTTCTTTCTCTTCCATATTTACATAAATTTTACTTGAATAAGTCATACTAAAACCTAGCAAACAACAATATTCAATACATTCTTCTATGCTTCATTTCCCTTAGAATTTTCTAAAGTCCTGTTCTACTTTTTCACAGCTTCTCAAAGATTATCAGCAAACGTAATAGCAATCCCACTTTGTCACACCCTAAATTGTGTTTTAGCCAAGCCTTGACATTTAATCCTACCCAAAACATCTATGGACTTTCAACGTGGGAGTTTTTGGGAATCACTTCATCCTTGAAATCTATCTCCAATATTAGAAACCCTAAAGGTGTTCTAATGAGCCACTGGGTTTATGAGCCACTTCTCTTATACCTCTGGCTTCAATGTTCTTATATCAATGCTAATCTTATGAATAAATCTATCTCTAACAGGACTTACATCTTCTATCTCTAAGAGTTTCCTTATAAAAGTGGAACTCACATATGGATGGGTCAAATAGGACAACGTTTAATAATCTAAAGTAATAAAAGGAGATATTTTTCTTTAATAATTGTTATCAGGCCTACTTTTGATCTC